TTGGTCCGGCGAGAACCTGCCATGTTGCCACCCGTCGCCGCCTTGCTGCAGCCTCGTGCGCTGGCTGGCTCTGGCGTGGTTTCGCGACGTTGACGCCTGTCGTCGCCGCGTTGCCGCCTCGTGTTCTGGGTCCGACGAGGTGTTGCCACGTGACCGCCCGTTGCCCCCTCATTGCTGCTTCGTGCGCTGGGTGGGTCCAGCGAGGTTTGACCACGTTGCCACCCGTTGCCTCCTTGCCGCCTCGTCGTGGCAGCCTCCTTGCCGCCTCGTGCGCTTGGTGGGTCCCGCGAGGTTTCGCCACGTTGCCGCCCGTTGCCTGCTCGTTGCCGCCTCGTCTCGTGCGTTGGGCGGGTCCGGCGAAGTTTCGCCACGTTGCTGCCCGTTGCCGTCTCGTTGCCCCCTTGGTGCGTTGAGTGGGTCTGGCGAGGTTTTGTCACGTTGCCGCCCGTTGCTTCCCTGTAGCCGCCTCGTTCGCTGGGTCCGGCGAGGTTTCGCCGTGTTGCCGCCCGTTGCCCACCTCTTTGCCGCCACGTTGCCGCGTCGTGCGGTGTGTGGGTTTGTCGGGGCTTCACCGAGCGATATCCACCGCAGTCGCCCGCGAACCAAAATCTTCGGGCGGGCAGGGGGTGCAGGAGGAGGGGTTCCGACGACGGTCCTCCTATAGATCCTAGGAGGAGATTCCCTCGCCAGGCGCCCAGAGTTGGAGATCCTACCCGAGATGGGTGGAGGGAGGGTTGCGTCAGCTTCGAATGGTTTGCATGGGTATTATTGGGTATTGTTTAAAGTCGCCCGTATATTTTGAATCGATGTATATATACATATACACACATATATATACGTTGTGTTATATCTCGCAACTGGAATATAGCTGGTAATCGTTCGGCGTCGCGCTTACTTGTATGCGCATTGCCAAAGACGACGTGCTGAACTTTTCCTGTTCGTACAACGCGGATCGAGTCTTGAGGTGTAAAGGTGTACACGCAGATGTGTATAATGGGGCTCATGTTCATGTTGTTTGTCGTATCGTCCAGCATCAATATATCGGGATTTCCGATATTACTGCTTATTTCATTGTTCATATCTATGACACAGCATTGTTTCTACCATAGTTCAAGTTTAGAAACATGTGGGTTGCTGCTGTTGCCTTCAATTACATATGAGGTGTTCCGCTACACTAAACTAGCATACTGCTTCTATGTGCGACCGCTCCAACGTGTAAGTCCAGATGCTCGAAAACAACCGATAATGTATGATGTCCGCAATACCTGAACATCTTCTTGCGACGGTTTTTGCTCATGTTTCGAAACACGTGTATATGCTATCGAGGGTTCGGGGATTCCGTCTGCGATATCCTCCCGCGGACTCTCCCAGCGGACCTCCTGAACTAATCCATGCGTGCGTCGGGATCGCAAAAGGGGTTGCTCAAGTTTACGCGAGCCATATCGACCCAGAGGGCGCCGCTCCTGGGTTAAGCAGGCGTTCGCCGATCGGATGGGGGGTCATCGATGCTCATGTCGACCATGGGCCTCAAAGTCGGCGTGCCGCTCGACAAAAACGTGGGGTGGGACGCCACCACAAAGCGCGGCCAGCGCATGTGCGACCGTCTGATTCTGAACGATGGGCCCTACTGTTCGGTGGTCACGCACCCGCGCTCGCCATGGGACAACTGAAGCTGTTTCAACGTGAGCCGAGACGACCACGGGCTAGCCGAGAATATCGAGAAGAAGCGGGAGGCCCACCGACCTATCTTGACCCAGGGCAACCAGTCCGTGGTCCGCAAGATTCAGGGGTTGCCACGTGGCCTTGGAACATCCCCGGGGTTCGGAGGCCCTGGATCAGCCCAGGATGGGCGGTGTCCATAAGGTGATCGACGAATGGGCGCTCAAAGTGGCCGACTTCGATGGCTGCCAGTGCGGCTACAGGGACAGCGAAAGCGGCGTGCCCACCATGAAACCCATGCGCATCTACGTGGCCATGGACGCCTTGGTCGACGCTGCCGACGGCGTCCGCCGCACGTGATGCCCCCAGCACGAGCAGCTCAAGGGCCAGAACTGCCACGGCGTTCGGTCCGACCAGGCCGCCGAGCGGCCTCGCGAGCTGGACATGGTCAAGGTTAACGCCATGCTCCAGCAAGCCATTGTCGGCAACGCCTTCGAGGCCAACGCGCAGCGCCCCGTCGACGTCGAGGGGCAGCAAGTTCCAGATCTACGAGGCCCTGCGAGGACCAGGCGCCGAGCACGCGCCCGAGGAGCGCCATGCCAGATTCCGGCTGGGCGGCCCGTTGCAGAGGATATCGCCGATGCGCAGCCTGAGCTTTTGAGCTCTGCCCCGGGCGGCCAGGGGGCGGCTCGGGTTCCCGAACGCGTCAGAGACCGACCAGCCCAGACGGGCAGCGACAGGGGGGCGCGGCAAGGACGTCGCCCATATTCAGCGAGGAGGAGGATCAGCGACGCCAGAAACGGTTGCAGGTCCCTAGGCTTGGAAGGCCACGCGATAGCTACGCGTCAACTATCACCATTGCGCGAATGTCACGCTCGCGCGGCAACTGCGAAGACGTGGCGACACGAAGGAGACCCCGCGGCGCATCGGGGGTTTCTCACGCGACGTCCGCGGCGGCTGATCCGCAGGAAGGCCCCTCGCCCAACGAGGTTGCCGGGGAGGTTCGCGATCGACTTCGCGATCCAGCTGGGCGCGCGCCGCGCTCGCGACGCGATCGGCGACCCCTTCTTCTTCTTCTTCTTCTTCTTCTTCTTCTTCTTCTTGTTCTTCATCATGGCATTCGTCTTATTCGTCTTCTTCCACTAGAACACCATCTGCGAGGGGCCCCCCCCGATCGTCTTCCGCCCCGACCCAGCCAGGGGGGGCCCTTCGGCGAGGGCCACCGCCGAGGCCCTCAACGCGCGGCGGACATCGCGGGCAGGCTACAACGAGGAGGTAGCCGTCGACCTCGGCGAGGAGCGGGCGATGGAGTTCGCCGACACCGTCAAGACCCGCGGGGCAGAGATGGACGCGGCGCCGCTCGAGGCGCCCAACGTCATCGGCAGGCGCGGGCGACGTGGAGGCATCTGGAGGGAGATCTGGCGACGCACCGCCCAGGACTTCCAGGGCACAGGGCTCGGCCGTCGAGCCCGCCGCGGCGGTCGTCGCCCGGGCCAGGCGCGAGCTCGGCAAGACGAGAGGGTCTTCTCCTTCGCAGGGGGCCCTGGGCCCCCGCGCCCCGCGAGCGCCGGGTAGTCCGCTGCGAGCTGGCGAAGCTCCGCGCCTGGAGGCGCTGGAGGCTCGCGGCGCCCCCGAGTCAGCCATGGCCAGGGCCGCGGCCGTGCGCGAAGCGGCTCGCATCGCGTTGGCCCGCGCAGACGCCGACGAGCGAGTTCGACGATGGGGTTCTTCGCAAGTCGCGCCCCGGTCGAGGGCCACGCCCCATCGGCTCGTTCGCGCGCTTCAGACGCGCCAAAGAACGGCCGGGCGAAAGCTCGGACATATCGCACCGCTGGTTCAGCCCTGCTAGAGTCATCGGACACGAGACCCGGAATCTGACGCATCTGTCCAAGGACGCCGCCGAAATTACCAGTGCCGACGCTCCTGCAGTCTGGCTAAGATATGGCCGCGCGCTGCAGCGCCGGCGGCGCCAGAAGCATTGCGATTCGCTTCCGAGGGCGAGCTGCTGGCCACGCGCGCCCGCCTCAACCCTGACACGCTCAGCGTCGCGACCGCTAGGGGCCCCCGCAACTGCGGCAACGCCCGCGAGAGCGCCGCCGTGGCAGGCGATCCTCCTAGACGAGCGCCCGCTCGCAAGGTTGCGCCACGTCGCGAAAAAGGGCAGCGAGACTGGTGAGGCCATCCAGGAACTCGACGTTCGTGGCCCACCACTTGGGCACCGCGGCCCGCGCGCCGGCCCCCCCCCCCCCCCCCCCCTCAAAGGGTCAATTCACTTGGGCGATTTTCGTGCGCAGCGACGAGGATGCCGGCAGCGACCGTCGGGTGGAGTTCGCCTACCTCATCGAGGGGGCCGTCCGATCGGATATCAGTTTGCAGGACTGGTCGTCAGGGATGCGCCGGGAGTTTGACCGCGCCATGGACATGGAGTGACGCCGTTGCCAAGAGCCTCGTGTTGCGGAGGTGTTGGGCGACAGCCAAATCGCAGATCTCATCGAGCAGGGGATCCAACCAGTTGGCGCCATGTGGGCGCGCGCCGACAGGATTGCCCTGCAGCGCAGGCCACATCAGACACCAGGCGGCGTCTCTTTCACTGCCGAGAGCCGCCTCGTGGTTCGAGGCTGCCAAGAGCGCGGGCTCGGCGTGCGAGGTGGCGCCCCTGCCGCTCCTGCCGCCAGCCTGCTCGCCTTCCACGTCGCGGCGAGCTGCGCCGCCTCGCGCCGCTGGCAGATTGCCGCCGCCGACGCGGCTGCGGCGTGCCTGCAGTCGAAGGCGATCGAGCGCGCGCTGATCCTTGAGGTCCCAAAGCCCCCGCCACCTGGGGCTCCAGGAGAGCGCCCGCGCGAGCGAGGGGCGCCATCTGCGGCTCTGAGGACGCCGGGCGCCAGCGGCGGTTGCATCTACGCGCAATGCTGACCGATCACGGCTGGAAGGAGTCACTTCACGAGCCCTGCCTGTTCGCGCTGAGGGGCGAGCCCCGCGAGCTCATCGGCCCGCGACGCGCCCGCGCCGACGACCTCTTCGCGACGGGCGCGGGCCGTGTGTTCGACGGCATCATGGAGAATACCGAGATCAAGACCCGCCTGATCTTCAGGCGCGGCAAGTTCAGGCACCGCGGCAAGGATACCGTCGTGTAGGACGACGCGTTCAATGCCGAGATCTGCCAGTCGGGGACTGCGGGCGTGCTGGGGCAGATCAACCTCGAGTCGCGCTGCAGGAAGCAGCCCAAATCGCCCCTGGCGCCATGGGAGGTCATTGGACTGCGGAGTGGAATTGGATCGCTTGGCTGGGTCGCGCGCCGGGCCCGACCCGGCCCATCAGCGCGCACGTCGCGCGGGGCCCAGTCCATGAGCAATCCGAGAGTCCGCGACATCGCGAATGTCCACAAGGCAATCAACATGGCCAAGGACGACAGCGAGTTCGAGGTCACATTCACGTCCGCCCCCGACTGGGACAATGCGATCGCCTTCGGTTGCGGCGACAGTAGCCGCGGCAACGTGGTCGACGACACTCGGCGAGAAAACCAAGTCGCGGCGCGGTTTCCTCAGGTCTGGCTGACCCGCTACTGGGCGACGAGCTTGCGCTTGTCCACATCTGTGCCACCATCAAGCGAGTTCGCCGTGGATCTCTACCTGCAGAGCGCAATGGATTCGTGACGGCGGCCGAGAGCGCGGAGTTCGCCAAGCACGTTTTTGCAGAGATCCTGGGCGCCAAGTTCGACCCGTTCGTGGACAGCAAGGAGATCGCAGCATTGGCGGACGCGGGTGGTCTTTCATCGAGCTTCGAGAAGGACGGAGGGCAACTTAAGGACAAGAGGGTCCGCATCCTGATGGCCCGGATTCGCGAGTTCATGGGTCATGCCCGCGTCGGCGCGGACGATCGTGACAGGGTCGATTGGCAGTTTAGCGCCAGGTGGATTGATGCCAAGCTGATGCTGTTCGACGCGCCGCTCACCAAGACGGAGTCCGAGCGCGGCGACCCACTCGAGCGCATGGCGAAGAGCAGCTGGTGCTTGGCGCCGACCGACGGGATGCTAGGGCGCAAGAAGGCTATTGGCGAGGCTCGCCGCGCCCGGAAGGCTGCTGCCCGCGCGGCTGCCGAGCGCCGTGGCCTCGCCGCGCGCCGCCCGCCCTGTGGTTGGTGAGGCCCCCCGTCCAGGGGCCGATGCCGCCTCCCGCCGCCTCTCGACATTGTTGAATATGCCTAGAACATGTCTCATGGATACGGAGCGGTGAGAAGGAGAACATGGTTTGCTCGATTTTATTATGTTGCAAGTGCCCTGCCGCCTAACTTTGATCCGCATGGCGCCTTTGAAGGTTCGACGGGTGAAGTATCATTATCATACTCCTGCCCGGCCTGGGGCACTCATATTCTATAGTAGAGCATGAACGAATCCAACGCAACAGTATGTAGCAATACTGGTGTACCACATCAGTGCGTCGCATGACGTGGCGTAGTAAGGTACAGTATGCCACACTAACTCATGATACCGGAGAAAAACCCAATCAGGGCTGTATGGCTAGGGGGCTATAGGGATATTGAGCTATAGGGCTATAGAGCTATAGGGCTATAGAGTTGTAGGGCTGTAGGGTTATTGGGCTATAGGGCTATAGGACTATAGGGCTTAGGGCTATAGGGCTTTATGGCTATAGGGCACGCCTGGGCACCTGGGCACTTGGGCCCCCCCGGGCCCCCCCCGGGCACCCGGGCACCCCCGGGCACCCGGGCACCCGGGCGTGCAGCGAAAATCGGCGACGAACCTAATCTAACCTAGCCATACGAATCCGCTAGGACCCCTACAGAGGCAAACTCTGATTGGGGACTAACATAACATAGCGGCATGTTGTTCAACCGACTTGATTTTACGTATCATATCAGGCTGTGGCGCATCTCATTCTGTAAGACAAGAAACCAAGAGACATGAGACGATAACCTAACACAGCATCTCTAAAACTAAAGCAAGCACATGTCAGAGGTTATAACCGAGCATCACATGTGCGTTACCAGGTCACGATGGCCCGTGGAGATAATACGAGAAATGGCGATAGCACAACACGGCAGAGCAGACTGGAGAGCAAAACTCGACATTTATCAAACCATCACATAACATGTTTGGTGGCGTAACACGCATGACAGGCGTCTCTGCGCTTCGCCAGCCCGTCCAGAAAAATAACACACCATAACGTAAGTCCATACATGAGGGCAGAACCGAATGCAACATAACACAGTGGAATCCAGTCATGAGACGAGCATCCCATGACCTGGCAGAGTAGGATTAAAGAAAAGAGCAATCGACAAACATAAAGGGGGCGGGAACCGTTGTCGTCGTCATCGTCTTCGATTTCGTCGTCGTCTTCGTCGTCGTCGTCGCCCTGTCGCCAGCGGCCGCGCCCAGGAGGGCGCCTTCTTGGGCGGCGCCGCCTCGCCGCCAGAGGCCCTCCGCCCGCCGACTCAGAAAAAGAAGCGAGAGCAGGAGGGAAAGGGGAGGCGGAAAAGGAGAGAGGGACAGGGCGGAGGGTGAGGGAGGAACAAAAAGAAGGAGGGGGGGAAAGGGCGGAAGGAGGAGGGAAATTGGAGGTGCAGGGTGGAGGGAGGGGGGAGGAGGGTCGAGGGAGAAAGGGGGATGGGTGATGATGAGGAGGAGAACGAGGACGAGGAAGACGAGGGAGAGGAGGAGGAGAGGAGGAGGAGGAGGAGGAGGAGGAAAGAGGAGGAGGAGCAGGAGGAGGACGAGGAGGATGACCAGGGAGGAGGGCGGAGGGAGGAGAGAGGAGGGAGGGAGGGAGGGATGGAAGTAGGGAGGCAGGGAGGAGGAGGAGGACGACGACGACGAGGAGGAGGACGAGGAGGAGGAGGAGGAGCAGCAGCAGCAGCAGGTTAGGGAGGTGGAAAAGGAGGAGGAAGATGAGGGAGGAGGAAGGAGGGGGGAGGGAAGAGTGATACGGAAGGACGGAGGAGGAGTGAGGAGGGAAGGGGGAGGAGGGAGGAGGGAGAAGGGGGGAGGAGGGACGAGGAGGGGAGGATGCGGGATGAGGACGAGGACGAGGAGGAGAAGGAGGAAGAACCGGAAAAGGAGGAGGAGGGGGAGGAGTCATGCTGTAACTGATATTGCAGATGTCTTGTGTCTGTCAGTGTGATGACAGCGTTGTCGACCATGATGGCGACGACGATAACGATAAAGACAACGACAACGATGATGGTGATGCTGATGATGCTGATGCTGACGATGATGATGTTGATGGTGATGGTGATGATTATGATGATCATGATGATCGTGATGATGATGCTGTTGATACTGATGCTGATGCTGATGCTGATGCTAACGACGACGATAATGGTGATGATGCTGGTGATGGTGACGGTGATGGTCATGGTGGTGGTTGTGATGATGACGCTGATGATAATGTTGGTATGCACGTTTGTCATAATGATGACGATGAGGTTGATAATGATACTGATGTTGTTGATGATGATGATGATGATGATGATGATGATGATGATGATGATGATGATGATGATGATGGCGATGAGGATGAGGCTAATAATGTGGAGGATAATGATGCTGATGATGATGGTGATGACGATGTTGATGTTGCTGCTTCTGCTGATGATGATGCTGGTGGTTATGCTGATGCTGGTGATGGTGCGGATGCTAATAATGATGATGTTGATGAACCTTCGTATTGTTTTTCTCACCATCGTTATTGTAATTATTGTTGGTAGTTGTAATCGCATTGCTATGTTTATCATTCGTAGAATTGTGAATCATATTCTTATTGATGTCATGATAGTGATCATGATGATGAGGTGGAGGAGCACGAGAAGAAGGAGGAACGATGATCGAGGCTTTTGAAGGTGTCTGTGTATTTGTTCGTTGAGGTGTTGTTTTGTACCTCTTGGTGAGCTGTCTTCCGCTGAGACGCCCTTCAGGTATGAGTACTACCCTTACCCTGTTTCCATGTTGGCCTGAATGCGTGTTCTGAATTCGGTCCTTGTCCTGCATTCGGGTTAGATCAGATTGGCCATCACCATCAATCATGCACACTTCTTGGCACTTTCGAACTCCTCATGTTCCCCCTCGTCCTCTCCCGAATCTTCTTATTTGCATCAGTATGCGAGGAGGGCGCCCGCCACTGGAGGACGCTTTGTGGGAAATTGCAGAAGAAAGTAGAATGTGACATCTTAGCAATAGGGGCAGGGGCATAAGGTGGTGGAGGAGGTGGGGAGAAGGAAAAGGGGGAGGATGATGACGACGACGAAGAGGAGGAACAGGGGGAACAAGAGGTGGATGAAGAGGATGAGCTATAGGATTAGGGTGAGGAGGAGGAAGAGGAGTTAGAGGAAGAGGAGGAGGATGAAGAGAAAGAGGAGGGGGCTCGGGAGGACGAAGAAGAGGAGGAGTAGGAGCATAAGTAGGAGGAAGAAGGAGGAGAGACAAAGTTGCAGCAGGGGGAGGAGGAGGCAGGAGGAGGTAGGGAAAGGATGATAAGGAGGATGAGGAGGAGAAGGCCGCATATTGTCACACTTTCAAGCGGCAGTGGGTCTACTGCATGCTGCCCTTTGCCCTTCCCCTCGTCCTCCTGCTTCGCGTGTCTGTATACGGACGAGATGGGATGGTAACGCAAACGCGTTGTCACACCAACCCAGGGCGTAATCACATCGAAGAAGAAACAACGGGCATACGCATAATATTCCGGAGCCCCGCGCGGATTTCTTGGACCTGCGCTGGGCCCGTTGACGCCTTCGGCGCCGCCCTTGGCGCGCGGAGCGCGCCATGAGGGGGTCGTGTCGTTCTGCCCCCATCACGTGCGGGCAAAGATGTACCTGAACGGGAGTACGTACTTGCATCAGCATGCGCATATACAAACAGTTCAATATAGGTATTTGTACCTGTGTATAGATATAACGGATTCCAGAAAAGGCCCTGCTGTCGAAGGAGTTGTCACCTCCTTCTCGGCGGAAGGTGGCGGAAGGCTGGCGGGAGCTGGCGGAAGTAAAACGAGGCCGCCACCGCAGGCAGAAGCCAGCGGAAGGCCTGCGGAAAGTGGCGGAGGTACAACATGCGCCCCAGTAGACGGCAACATTTTTGGGTTCAGGGTTTCAAGAATCGGCCATCTGTCAGAGTGAGGGGGCCGAAACGTCAGTCATTGTCACTGGGTGCGTGGCTGAAGGGGGATTCCGTGAAGCGGATTATGGTTGTTCTTTGTTGTTGTTGTTGTTGGTGTTGTTGTTGTTGTTGTTAGTATTGTTGTTATAGTTGTTGTTGTCGTCATCGTTGTTGTTGGTGTTGTTGTTTGGTGGTGGTGTTGTTGTAGTTGTTGTTGTTGCTGCTGTTGTTAATTTTGTTGTTGTTATTGTTGTTGTCATTGCTATTGTTGTGGTTTGTGTTCTTGTTGTTGTTGCACTCTCATTTCTGAAGAATAATTGGTGTTGATGTACCGCGCCGGTGCATACTGTTTTTTCTCAATGAAACTGTGCCCCTCGACGCTCGCACCCTGCTTTTTTTGACAGGGAAAGTCTTCCTGCTCAAACTGGGTCCCTGGCCCCCCGGATAGTAACAACAATGGCTCCCGCCTGAGGCTTCCTCCAAATTTATTCAGGCCCCCCTCTCCTGAGACATCCTCACAATTTACTCAGGATCGTTGCTCCCGCCTGTGACATCCTCGCAATTTAGTCAGGACCCCCGCTCTCATCTGAGACTTCCTCACAATTTACTCAGGAACGGCGCTCCCGCTTAAAACTTCCTCGCAATTTAGTCAAGACTTCCTCGCAATTGCATCAAGACCCCCGCTCCCGCCAGAGAACCCCCCACATTTTATTCAGGAATTGCGCTCTCGCCTGTTACTTCCACGCAATGTAGTCAGAAATCGTGCTTTCGACGCTCAGGAAACACGCTGCGCCAAGGACGCCGTTACAATTTACTTAGTAATCGCGCCCTCGCCATACTCAGGTATCCCGCTTGAATGTCCCACCCGCCCGACCCGACCGTCAGGGGTTCGCCCTCCCGTCGTGGGCTCCCGCCAGAGACTTCCTTCAGGAACGGCGCTTTCGCTTAGGACTTCCTCGAACGTTCACGCTCTTACCTTCCTGCTCCTCCTCCCTCTCCCTCCTCCCTCCTCTCCTCCCTTCTCTCTCCCTCCTCTCTTCCCTCATCCTTATGCCTCTCTGCCCTATCCCATGTCCCTCCTCTTCCTCCTCCCTTCTCCCTCCCCTCTCCTGCCTCCTCTCTCTTTCTTTCTTTTCTCTCTCTCTCTCTCTCTTTCTCTCTCTCTCTCTCTCCAATCTGTCTCTCTCTCTCTCTCTCTCTCCATATCTTATCTGTCTTTCTCTCTCTCTGCCTCTAATCAACCGCCCCCCTCTTCGCTCCTTCTCTCCTGGCGTTTTCGCTCTCCCTTCGTCCCTCCCCCTCCCGTCCTCCCACTCTCCCTCGTTATCCTCTTTCTCTTTTTGCAGGGCCCACACCAATTCCAATGGTGGGTACATGTACGCCCACGAAGGATTGTCCGCCCGTTCAGGTTTGCCTGCCTGTCTAAGCCCGCCGCCCCCGCAAAGAGAAAGAATCCCCCCAAAGAGGGTGTGATCGAAGACACAAAGGGCGGGTATCGAGGGTGTGGGGAACTCGTGTTGAATGACACAAGGGCAAGTAAGAGCGAACAGTCTTATGATGATCGTCGTTGTTGTTGTTGTTGCTGTTGCTGTTGCTGTTGCTGTTGTTGTTGTTGTTGTTGTTGTTGTTGTTGTTGTTGTTGTCGGCGTTGTTCGGTGTCGTCCCCCCCGCGACCCAGCCCGCGACCCACCCGCGACCCACCCGCGACCCACCCGTGACCCACCCGCGACTCACCCGCGACCCGGCCCGCGACCCACCCGCGACCCACCCTCGACCCACCCGCGATCCGGCCCGCGACCCACCCCAGCGCCTCCGGCGGGCTTCTCCAGAGCCCCGCAGAATGCAGACGTCCCCGCCGCCCCCTCAGTCTTATCCGCGACTGCGGGGCGCTACGTGTATATTCTCCAAACAGTACATGCACTCAGGGGTTCTTTCTAGTGTTCTAAGGAACTCGAGGGGGGTTGCCGGCCTGGCGGCTTCGTGCTCGCCGTCGCCGCCCCGTCGCCGCCCCGTCGCCGCCTCGTCGCCGCCCGTCGTCTGGGCGGGGTTGTCAGTCTGGCGGCTCACTGCTCGCCGTCGCCACCTCGTCGCCGCCCGTCGTCTGGGCGGGGTTGTCGGTCTGGCGGTTCCGTGCTCGCCGTCGCCGCCCCGTCGCCGCCTCGTCGCCGCCCGTCGTCTGGGCGGGGTTGTCGGTCTGGCGGTTCCGTGCTCGCCGTCGCCGCCCCGTCGCCGCCTCGTCGCCGCCCGTCGTCTGGGCGGGGTTGTCGGTCTGGCGGTTCCGTGCTCGCCGTCGCCGCCCCGTCGCCGCCCATTTTTTTCTTTAAAAGACTATTCAATCGCTTCGCTCATTCCGCGGGCCCATATTGCATGATC